CATCTTGTGGTGTGGAGTCACAGCCCCCGAGAAAGCACGTCAGCCAGGCCTCGTGGTTCCGAATGCGGTTGCTTCCTGAGATGCTGTGATGCCGACTTGCTCCGGGAAGACCGCCCTTGCGGGGCGGGGGGCTTCCGGAAGAGAGGCTGCGAGGAGTTCATTCCGCATGCGTGTCCTGGTCCTGATGCAGAGCTGTCCTCAGGATGCTTTCTGGGTATAGCCTCCTATTCCGGGAAAACGCACCCCACTCAGGACATGTCCTGGGGAGACATCCCCCTGTTTAGGAGCCATGGAAGGGTGCTCGTCACCAGCAGAACCAGAGAGAAAAATTTTGCTCATTGGTTTATTCACTTTTCTCACTGTATGCCTGGGATCGCTCTGTCTCTGTCTCTGACTGATTCTCTCTCTCTCTCTCTCTCTCTCTCTCTCTCTCTCTCTCTCACACACACACACACACACACACACACACACACACACACAGAATAATCTCCCTCCGTCTGTTTTCCCTATCTGGTTTTAGGGGCAGCTTGGTTCTGCTTCCTACCTAGAAAATAGCATCTCACGTCTTAACAGACTTGAGTCTGTCTCTCTGTCTAGAACAGCCAAGAGGTGTGTATATGTCACGTTTATTTTTAAGGAATGAATCATTTTTCTGGTTGACAGGCATTTGATCTATTTCTGGTGTATTTGTTTCTGCCCATAGAAACGATGCGCATACAAATTATTCACATCACCTGGTGGACAGGGGTGAGACATTTTCTAGGGTATATACGCCTAGGCGTGGAATTGCTCAGTCCAATGCTACACACACATTCAAAATGATTGTGTAATATTACATTCTTTTCCCAAGATCTGGACCAGTTTATATTCCAAAGAGCACTGTATACATGTACTGCTGTATTCTGTATCCTCAGCAACCTTGATAATGCGAGGTCTGACGTTTTTGCCACCTTGGTGGATGTGAAGTGACATCTTCTGGTTTTAATCTGCATTTCCCACTTGCTGTTGAGATAGCGTGTCTTTTAGGGTGTGTATTTGGCATTCAGTTTTCTTCTCTTGGGGAGTGCTTACTCATGTCTCTTGTCCATTTTTTCATAAGGTTTGTTTGTCCTTTTCATATCACTTTATGGGTGCTTTTTCACCTCTATCTTTTAAATAGAGAAATATAGGGAAAGGTGAGAGGCAGGGTGTGCACTCCTTCTGGGTGCATCCTGGTCCTTTGGGAGCCCCTATTCCTTTGGAGTGAAGACAGGGCCAGGACTCCGGAAGCTGCATCCCTGCCTGGCATGGATGTAGCAGCCGGCAGCTCCCCGAATTGCTTGCTGCCCTCACGCACAGGAAGCGTGAGCCCTCTTTCCTGTCGGGGGGAGGAGGGGCAGATTTTCCGGGACCCGCTGACCCTGTGTACGGGGGCTGTGCTTGGTGTCGGGATATTTGAAAGCTGCCCTCATGTTCACCTGAACCCCCTTCACCATAAACGGTGCCTCTCAGCCTTTCAGGGTCTTGGTGGCCCTAAAATTACCCCTGTTAGGTTCCAAGGCGGGTAGTGGTTATGGTGAGATGCACAGAACCAATTCTAGGAGCGCTGTCACGGCAGAAATCATCTCTGAACAGGCAGCCTCTCTAAAAATCATCTTGTGTTTTTCTCGTACGTGCTTATGTTTATCCCAGTGGAAACGTTTTAATTTACATTTTTGTTCGTGATTTTTTTCCTTCTCTGAGTATTGATGTGAACTCCCCTCTCCTTCTGGTGCTGTTTCTTTGCAGATTTTTGTATCAGAACAAGGCACACTTCATAAAAAGAATCAACTCAGGCTTTTTCCCCCACCCATGTGTTCTAAATCAGTCAATAGAGGTGGGATTATCTATTTTTTGAAAGTCGGGAAAAATTTGTTAAAATACCATGGATGCTGTCCCCGCCTTTTCTGGATGTCGTTCTTTCATTAATTTTTCTATTTCTCCCATATTCCTTGCTCTGATTAGTCCTAATTTCCTTGATTAGGTCGTAACAATCAGTATTTTTCTCAGAAAAGCATTCATTTCCTTGAAATGTTCGTATTTTACTTGTAAATCTAGCGTATTATTAATATCGTTAGAAGCACACACCTATCATTTTAAAATCTTCCTACGGTAGACTCGTCCCTATTTGTAAATTTGCATTTTCATCCTTGTCAAATATCTTATTCACAGTCTTCTCTGGGTCTTTGTTTCTGTCTTTTTTTTTTTGGTCTGTCGATCTGTGAGATGCTCGAAGACATACACTCATTTCTCCCGTAACCATTTTGGTTCTGTCCACTTCTCTCTGCATTCCCAAGAGTTCCGGAGAAACGGACTGTGATATTGTGTTATTCTGAGAACATGGCACATGACTATCGTGACTTCAAATCGAGCGTCGGACCCACAGATAACGATCCATGTTGCCCCATTAATATTTCAGTCCTGGATCACCTCCACCTTATGTCAGTAGGGCCAGCCCTGCTTGATTTCTGCTTGTTTGCCTGATACTTTTCAGCCTTTTAATTTCCAATCCCTGCTTTAAAAAACTCTATAATGAATATATCCAGAACTCTGAGTGTGGTCTTCCCATACGAGGCTACCATCTTGGTTTTGCATCCTGACCAGCCCCTTGGGGTTCACTCTTACTCTTTTCAACTGCACCCCCACCTGCTTCTTGGGTCTCCTGTTTTGCTACCCGGACAACTGGTATACCTCCTATGTTCCAGTCCTCTGCATGGCAGACGTTCTCTTTCTTATTTCCTGGGGGTAACTTGACTATTCTCAAAACATCGCAACCTTCATTTCTCAAATTATCCAGATAGATATGAAGGTGTTAGTGATGGCACCCCAGGTAAAATGAAAAATGTCACTTGTGTCTACTCCTCCCTGCCAGGAGCCCTGCTGTGTCAATTACCCCTGTCCCCTCTCACCATGTGCATTGTTGGGGGGATGCAGCCCCTACTTGGGTTTTAGGTGAGCCCCTAGCATGCATGAGTCCCCATATCCTGTCAGTGATCAATCCTGGTGCTTCGGCTCGATGGGGGGCAGACCTTACAGTTTGCAACTTGTCTTGGGTGTTTCTTTTCTCAGGGATGGAGCCCTTAAAGCCTCCTGGTCTGCAGGGAACAGTCTGCCCCTCTCAGCGGTAGGGCTTGATTTGAGGGCTCATATTCCCTGTGCAGTGTCACCCCATCATCCTGTCAGTGATGCCGTTGTAGGGGTGAGGGGTGGGGGGCAGCTCCTCAAAGGATGTAGGAAGTGGGTGCTAATGACAAGAATGGGCAGAAAAGCAGAACCCAGTAGCTCCTTCACAAGGCAGTGCTCTCAACCTGGAACATCAGTCCTCATGTTTCTGGTCATTTCTGACCCTTTTCCCCCAAGGAGGAGGAAAATTCATCTTCTGACATTTCGAAGATCCAGTAACAGTGCTCTGTTTCTGGAAATGGAGTGTGTGGATCCACCCATCCTTTTACCATGGGTTCGAGTTATTAGCAGTAGTGTGAGTTTTCCTCTTTTTTTTTTTTTTTTTTTAATTCTTGGGAGCGTTTCAGGCGAAAGTTAGAACAGGGGGTCAGGAAGGCCTATACCGGGGG